GTAAAGAAAGAGAAATAAATAGACTGATCTTAAGCATATTTTCAAAGACAAATCACATGAAACAGATCTGGATTTTAAAGTAAAAAATGCCAAATAAATTTATACAATAAAACTGTACACTCTTGTTAAAAGGAAAAAAACAAAAACAAACAAAATAAAAACACACCCTGAATTTAAACTTTAAAGAAAGTGTTCTCTAACTCCTTTAGTAGTTGTCACTCTGGGAGGCTGGTATTTTATTACCAAAATGCTGAAAGTATTCAAATGTTTAGAGCACTTGTTTTGGAACTATTTTTAGAACTAGGTTTTGAATAAAAACAAAAACAAACAAAAACCAAACCAAAACAAAAACCTAGGCTCATTATTTTATAGTTCCACTTTGCTTTTAGCCAAACATATTACTGTGTAGTTGAATTCTTATTATTTTAGGCAAACTCTTAGTCTGAGAAATTGTCTTTTTCTGTTTTCTAAAATATCATGTCTACCCCTGATGGTAGATTTACCATTACCAAAAAAAGATTTACCATTAACTGAAGATATTAACATACACAAACACACATATACACACAGCCAGTCTAGGCATAATAATTGTATAGGTGTGTTTACAATACTTTACTTATTAAAAAAATATTGTCATATTACCTTTTGGACACTAAAATAAGTCTTGCATACACAATAAATTTTCCCAATTAGACTCTTAGCTTTATTTCATTCTATCTAAACATTTTATAGCATATTGAGTCAAAAACTACTTTTAGTTTAACTAAATCCAACTATACAGAATTCTTTTAGCCATGCCAAGATAAATCTGAACACCAACCTGCTCAAGTGCAATAGCATGATAAAATTTCTGAGAACATCAGAGTTGGCAAAATGGGCTAACCAAAAGCAACTAGCTAAATGCCCTTGGCATAGTGTCGCCCAAAACGATGAGAGGAAATTAGATTTCAATGACAATGCATAATACTATACTTATTCATTTATTGAGCCGAATGTTTACAATATGCCAAATACTACATCAGATGAAAGAAGAGTGAGAGAGGCAAATAACATCTTCTATTAGAATTCTTTATCACAGCATACTGGGATGCTGTAACACAGCTGTATGTGTGAACTGATCTGGGAGCAATTAACAAAAAAAGGAGCAATTAACTTCCTGAGGACAATGAGAAATATATATAGAAATGAAATGGGTCATAAAAGGTAAGTTGGAATTTTTCAAGGGAAAGAGGTCAAAACAGTTTTCTAGGTAGGAGAATATTTTGGACAAAGAAAGGATGAAGAAAAAACAGGAAAATCAGCTAAAAAATAAGCAGTCTGTATAGCTGGAGAATGTGGGCTTATCTGGGGTTATGAAAGGGTGAGGTTGGAAATGATGAAAAATGATGGTCAGATTGTAAAAGGGCCATGGTAAGGAATTTGTATTTCATCCTGAAGATGTTGACTATCTAGAGAGGGGTTTTAAAAAATTAACTTTAGTAAGGCATTGTTTACATATATAGTTCAATCAGTCTTGCCAGTATATCACTTTCATAAATTCACCACCTCAAAGTCTCAAAGATTATCTCTTGTTTTTTAATACAGTTTTAAGCTTTTATATTTAGGCCTATGATCAACTTAGTTTTTGTGTATGTTAGTTTCTGTATATGATGTAAAGAATTGAGATTCACTATTTTCCTATATATTTAGTTACCCGCCACTATTTGTTGAAAAGACTTAGCCTTTCCCCATTAAATTACATTGCCCCTTAGTAAAAATTTATTTGGTTATACAAGAGTGGGTCTATGTCTGCATTCTCTATTTGTTATATTGATCTATATGTCTATCTATAGTAAATACCAATACTACACTGTTTAGATTAATACAACTTTATAGTAAGTTTAGATAAGGATTCCAATATGGTCCTTTCTCAAAATTGTTCTAGCTATTCTAGGTCTTTTGATTTCCAAATGCATTTTAGAATTAGCCCATCAATTTCTACAAAACTGGGCTTTTGACTTAGATCACACTAAATTAAATGAAATTTGGGAGAAGTAACAACTTAATACCGAGTGTTCTAATCCACAGAGTATAACTGTCCTTCTATTTAGGTTTTCTTTTTTCTTTTTTCTTTTTTTTGTCTTTTTCCGTGTCCGGCAACGGATCGCAACCCTCAGTGTCGCCCCCGTACCGGACCGGGAC